GTGTGACCGGAGCACGGGGATCGCTCGGAGCCGCTCTTGGCAGGTACGGCGCCCCCGGGAGCGTCACACAGACTAAGGGCCATGGGTTCGATTCCCAGGCGAAGGCATTGCAGGAGCCGCCCGCTCTGTGTGTCTCAGCGTGCCCCCCCCCCCCAAAGCAATCGGGGGAGGAAGGGGAGGAGGACGGGGAGGAGGGGGTCAGGGAGGACAGCGGCAGCCTGTACCCAAGGCAGTGTGTCCCCCGAGTCCGGCGTGTCCCCGAGAGAGGCGTGTACCTGAATGCAGCGTGTCCCCGAGGGCAGTGTGCCCCCGAGAGAGGGGCGTACTTGGACGGGCCCAGGGGGCACTGAGTGGGCCACACAGCTGTTTTTAACCCAGACGCCCCCTAAAAGAATGCCGTGTGCTTCCCACACACATTTTTAAGTTAACATCTAAAATTAAAAGGAATAAATTCTGATAAGTTGTACATGACATTTTCAAATAAAGTGGTGACAGATCTTTTAAATGGACCCCTTGGGTTCTAAATACCATGATGATTTAATACCCACAATCATCCATTAAAAATACTCAAGATTTTTACCAGTTAGAATTTAAATTGGTTCTTTTTCTTTTTGGAAACATTTCATTCCATAGAATGTACCTCAATGGAGTATCCTTTTTCCTTAAGTCTTTTATTGAACAGACTATTTCATCAAGGTTCTCAGAGTTGGAATTTCTTCTGGATTGAGCTCTTTCTGTTGTTAGCAATATGATTGAATCCATATATATCACAAAATCTGATATGTGATGACTGTAAATAAAGGATAAGTTTTCCTTGAAACGCCTGTGTTAATAGTGCCTTACTTAAAGAAATTGTCTAGTTGTCTCTTGGTGTCCTCAGAATTATCACCCCTGTCCTCCTGGGATCACTCCTGTCCTCCTGGGATCACCCCAGTCCTCCTGGGATCACCCCTGTCCTCCTGCTATTACCCCAGTCCTCCTGGGATCACCCCTGTCCTCCTGCTATTACCCCAGTCCTCCTGGGATCACCCCTGTCCTCCT